ACGTGATAGTTTGGAACCTTTGCAAGTGGTCTAGATGCCTCACAACTCACACAATAGGATAGTGTTGGTATAGTGTTGGCCTTAGTATACCTTAAGGGAAGATGCTGACTTCAAGATAGGAAGCAGTTAAGATAGAGCATGAGGCTTACCTGCCCAGGTAGGAGACCCTGCCCGGAGGTAGAGGCACCTCCCTCCACCCTTTTGAGTGAGTTCTCTCTGGCAAAGCACATCCATTGGAATATGACCTGGATAAGCATTTAGAAAGAACATGCCGGTTAGAAGCCACCACCACCACCTTTTATTTTAAAGCAAGGAAGAATAGCTAGCTAAGTTTTGTAGCAGCTTTCTCTGTCTTCATTCCTGGGAGCTTGAATAGAATGATACTGTCAAAGCCTTCTGGTCACAAACTCTCTTCTTCGGCGTCCCTCTGAGACAAACCCGCCCCTGCAGTGAAATGGCATTAGTAACCTGATTGCTGGCAGCCACCCACCTGCTCCTGGGTTTCCCACGCGCCCCCAGTCCCAACTGAAGTGATAGCAGTGATTTGGACAGGGGGGTGCGGAGATGGCTGCTGCTCCGCGGTGCCCAGTACCCTCGGCAGTAAGTCCCATGGGTCAGATGGCCTCTGTTCCTCTCTGGGCACTGCTCCAAGATGGGTCTCATCAAAGCATCATCATTGTGTGCAAAGTGTGAAGGGTGAACGTCACTCTCACCGACATGAGTAGCATCTCTGGGATTTCAAGCACATGAGGAGGCAAGAACCGGTGCATGGGTTTTAATGTTTTTCTAACAACTGTGCAGATTAGAGGGACTGTGTAGTGAATGTTCAAATGCCTAGTGTACTCGGTCTCTTGTGTAAATTACAGTAAAACAGAGTAAATGAAATTTAAACAAAAAATAAATTTGATTACAAAATGCCAAAAAATTATGTTGACACCAGACTGCAGTTTAAATGACCGAAGTGGGGCCCCGAGACACGCAGTAAGCACACACTGATGGAAAGCTGGCGTCGAGAGATTGTTTGACGCAGGCTGGCCACAGACCACCAATTTGTAGAAAATGCAATATTTAACAGAATAAAATGAAACACACCTGTAGCACCAAGAGAGGTGGGCTTTGACAAACAGAAATTTATTTTTTATTTAAATTTCATTTACTTTGTTTGTAATTTACACAAGAGACCGAGTACGCTAGGCGTTGGAACATTCACTAGAGATTGTGGGGCGAGAAGTCCAGTACACCAGCTCTGGGGGAGTCCTTGTTCCTGGGCTTCTTGGTGATCTCCATGTAGCTTGGCACCCCCTCTTTCTCCATCTGTACTCTGCTCACTTGTGTAATCTCTTTTATGCTTCAAAAGAGATCAAGACACACTGGATACTAATATCCATTAGCATAGCAAAGAAAGCCCGTTACCAAATGCCATCCACACCATAGGTGCAGGGATTAGGACTAACAACACACATTTGGGGACCACAATTCAATCCAGAACAAGGGTCAGAGCTTCCCGGATTGTAACAGTTCAAAACAGAGCCTTCCAGGTCTGGAGGAAAACCCCTTGATTTATTTTCGTTTCCCATAGAAAGAATTTTCAGTGATGAGTTTTCTAAAGTGAATTCTGGCATTTTAAATGTATGCTTACTTTTGCATGGGTGGAAGTGGGTTGGGGGCATTGCCTCTCAATAACCAACCAGGAGACCCACATTAAAAAAGCAAGTATTGTTGTTAGGTGTCATCGAGTCGGCACCAACTCACAGTGACCTTATGCACAACAGAGCAAAACACTGCCCGGTTCTGCACTAACCTCACAATTGTTGCCACACTTGAGCCCATCGCTGCTGCCACTGTGCCA